GCCTTCTTCCACAAGAGGGCTTATTCCTTATGGGGAGAGGAATAACTCTGGCGCAAGAAGCCCTCTCTTCTGATGCTTTACTGTAAATTTACTTGCACAAGAATACGTGTGCAGTGTAGATGCTCTGCAAGTTTTTGCGCAAGAACGGCTGTTCTTGTGCAAAAAACCTGCAATGTAGACGTAGCCTGGATGTTTATAACTCAGAGGTTCTGCTGTAGTTACTTTATCTGACCAGCTGACATCAAGTATTCTCCACAAGCATCATTTTGCCAAGTTTCAGAAGCGTGTAACCATGTGAGGATCTCAATAACACTGTACAGCTTTATCTTGGTTCTTTTATGGATTTCCTTATTTTTCCAAATATTTGCCAATTAAAAAAAACTCCACTTGCCTTTTCTAGTTCTTGCTTTCCCCTTCTTATGGATGTGGCCATCAGCACTGTTTGTGCTTCCAAGACGTAGAGATTTGTTAACTCTGCTGTATTCTTCTTTCTCAATTGCATACGCACCATCATTGCTGAGTCCTCTCCCAAAGATCATGACTTTCATTTTATTTTCACAGATTTGCCGTCCCACTTTGGCAGCCTCATAGTTGACATTGTTAATGGTCTTTTCTGTGGACATTGCAGAGAAGAAAGTAAAAGTCTATAAGGAAAGGAAAATGAATGGGGCATGAAGCCATTCTCTCCTGTTACAGTTTAAATGGCACTTGGGTTTTGAAAGATAATAAAAATAAATCACTGTGTATATAGCACAGCCACAGTCCCCACTCTGTCCCTCAGTGGATGTGGATCCAACAGTGTATGGAGAAAAGGGAAGTACGATGCAGGGGCCAAAACTAGCTGGATCAAAGTTCTGTGGGAATGGGGGTGAGTGGCAGCTACTTGGGTGGCAGGACTGGAGGTATCACTATTACCACAATGATCCTATGTATGGGAGCAACCGCAAAGAGTATGAGAGGGACTTTTCCTCCCAGCCTTATGTTACCCTGCTGAGGCCCCATTCAGTGCAGATGCTGGTCTTATGCATCCTTACTTCTGGTACTTCTGTTTGAATTACATGATTGCACCTCTGATCCAACCAGTTCCCCCACTCTTGTCATAAGGGGCTTCCCTGTTCCCCCGCAGCTGGGGTGTGGAGGAGTCTTCTCTGATGGAGCTCACCAGCATTCAGCCCAGTTATGTAGATTGGGGGCAGGATTTGGAGCTAACGCGACCTGAACTGACTATAGTTTCCTTGCAGGGTAGCACCTATGGCATGTCATCTTTTTTCTGAAATCCGGTTTGGCATTTTGCTTTAATCTTGTGCTGCATGATTTGTTTTGAAATCAGACAGAACATTGGGATTCAGGGCAAAGTCATTCTCCAGCACTCTGGCATATTGAAAAGTGTGAGGGTGCTTATTACAATATTTACAGCATCATTTTTCATATTGAAGATTTGCACAAGCTTGTTTGAGTTACTCAGCATAAAATCAACGATTGCAGAGGGGCACGTGCACAAGAACGGATTTTGGTTCTCTAGAGAGCCCAGACACAAAACCACAGTTTCTTAAACTAATGCATCTAAATCCATTGAAGTGTAGCTTGTGCCATCAGTGAAGTGATACAGAAAATTTATTTTTTTCCAGCACTGTCCCTGCCAATTCCCTCTTTCCACTGCACTACCACTCACTTGCCTTCTTCCGCTTGCAATATACATATAAAATAAAATGAAAGTGACTGTGTAGAAATGCACCCTCTGACTCTAGAGATTTGCCCTATGTATGTATTCATCTGTTGACTTTAGTTTTTACTGCACTTTACCCTGTGAGCTCAACAGAGCTGAGAGAATGTGAGCTGGAGGCTCTTTCTTGTGCATGATCAGCAGAATTGTTTTCTAAACTGCAGTCGCAGGGCCAGTCCTTTATACTCCTGCCACCCCAATGAAAGGCAAGAGTTACCCAAGGCAGAATATGAAGGGAATGGGGCTGCACAGGGATAACTGAGGTTGAGAATTTGCCCTTCGTTACCAGTGATCATGCTAAAGAAAAGAAAGCGATCACTTGATTTTGAGGGTATGAATTCACTGCAGACAGACACGTGTGGCTGGCCTGTGCCTGCTGCCTCAAGTTTGTAGGGCTGTTTAATGAGGATGTAGAGCCTACGCTACAACCCAGCCTGAACATGCAGCTAAACAGCCCCTTATCCTGCCCCTGCTAGCCCAGGTCAGATGGCACAGTCCAGCCACAGGTTTTTAATTGCCATGTCGACATACCCTAGGAGTTTGCAGGCCTGCCAACAAATGTATCTTTTTATTTGTAAACGGAGCACATAGGCTGTGGAGTGGTGGAGACACCATCAACGTGGAACCTCACAGTGCTGTTTTTACAGTGTTGTACAACTGCATTTGAAGATCTACCCAGCTCGTCTGTTTTCCTATCTTACTCCCATTTGCCATTTGTCTCCCATTTTAAATCAGAACTTTCCGAACTCTACAGTGCTGTCGCCGTCCCTTTTATTTCAGGAAAGGAGGGAACCAGTAGGTATACACATCCCTCCCATTGGCCAGTTCCCTCCTGTTCCTCCCTTGTTTTTTTGAAAACATGTTTACTAAACTGGCCCAAGCCATATTGGCGAGATGCTATCTTGCTTTGCATTTTTTATATTCCAATTTGTCAGAAGGGTAGAATGGATGGATGGTCACACCGGTAATTCTCTTTTCAGGAATGATGAGCAATGAAAGGAAATGTGGCGGCTCACTCTGTCTGAGCAGATGAGTTGGCCTGAGTGCATTTTTCACTTACTTGCCAGAGTTTAGTACTTGGATACCCCTGGAAACATCCCTACCCAGCTGTAGCACTTCCAGTGTAAACTTCCCAACAGCACCTTGTGTGTTGAGCCTTATCCCTGACTCACAGGTGGGATTTAGTGTGTTACCTGTGAATAAAGTGTCCAGTTTTGATGCTGGCTTGTGATGAAAACACCCCTGCTGAAACATCATTCCTGGGATGCAGATAAGGTACAGTGACCAGCATATTAATGAATGCCCTATGGTTGTGACTATTTTCTTCCACTATTTGATCTGAGGAAGTGGGTCTGGCCCACGAAAGCTCATAATCTAATAAACCATCTTGTTAGTCTTTAAAGTGCTACATAGTCCTGTATTTTGTTTCAGCTACACCAGACTAACACGGCTACCTTTCTATCACTATCCAGAGTCTTTCAGTTCAATTGTGTTTTCTAAGGTTCCCTGTGGATTTCTGTCTTCCTTATTTTAACTTTTTTTCTGGTACAGCAGCACTGAACAGAACACGCATTTCCTTACACTGTGAAATAGCGTGATGCTCGTGGTTCCAAAGAGCTGGACTGCTTAGCCTGGTTTACTTGTTCTGAAGATACTTTTGCAGGACTTTCCATACTTCCGGGACCAGCAGTGGTGCTCTACTTGTTGGCTGCCTCTAAACTTAGCAGCAGTTCAGTAGAGTCTGTTTCTTTTTCTTCCTAGTACAGATGTGAATCACCTTCCAAATAAGGTAGACAGCAAGCAGACTCTACATTCTGGTTGCCCTGCTTTTCTGACCTCAGACCACATCAGTCTCCAAACTGTTACGAATACTGGAAAAAATGTTTAATCTGAATCCTGAATGTACCGTGCTTTTTTTTCCTAGTCTGGATTGGTGGGTCATCTGTAAAGGTTTTTGCCATTTATGCATTAAACCATTAAAAGAATGACTTCTTAGCCAACAGCTGTTTGATTTCTCTCCTAGCCAGGCTAACTGCTAACCCATTTGGGATTAAAAGCTCAGTCATGAAAGGATAAACTCTCCCCTCCTGTGGGAAAAACAGGTAGGGGAAAAAAGCTCTTGTAGAATTTCCAGAGGCTGAACTGGAGTTTCAGAAGACTGATGCTGTCTCTGGGGAGGAGTGTGAGCATCACAGAGGGGAAACCCGCAGGCTCTGGGAAACTCAGTACCAAAGCGGACAGATCCTGAGGCAACCACAAGGAGAGTCAACATCTTTGTGTTGCTGCCTGGAGCCCCTAGCAGCAGTTCACTATTGCTCTCCCCACTGCCTCCCAGAAAGGGAGGGGTCCAGGAGAAGAATTAAATTCTGCTTCCATAGTATTCTGTCCTATGTACTTTTCTCTTGAAAATCCTTTGAACCTCAGGGAACATGCCATATACAGAATGGCTGCTCCATGGTTCTTTTATGATATGCCCCCTTTCACGCAAACATAGATATCCTTAGGGAAGGTAGGGAAGCATGCCTCAGTTTCTGCAGCTCAGCCCCTCTTTCGCCCTTGCTTCCTAACACAGAACAGAATGAGTCCTATAGCATATAAACCAAGATGTATGTATCAAGGAGACTTGGAGTAAGAGGGATCTGGCTGTAGTCTGAACCATGGGAGTGAAAGTGATGTTTCAAGCAAGATTATTACTAGTACCAGTGTTTTTCCTCTAATGCAAGAACTGTGGGTAATCATTTAAAAAATTCTGACCTAGCCAACAAGAGCATATAGTGTGTCCTAGATATAAAGTAGAAAATTTGTCACATGTTTAAAGGTAAGCCACCTCCCAGTTACTTGACTTACAGGAAGGCAGGAGATGGTTCAATTACAGGAAATTCTACTGCTATGTTAAGAAGTTTCCTTCCTCTAGGTCTATTCTTTTAATTTCTTCTCCATTTTGTGGCTGGTATTATGGGTTGCTTTTCTGCTTCTTTTCACACTTACTAGGGTTTGTGTGAAGATAGGTATTTTTCCCTTCAGGCTTTTCAGAGTCCTAATTATTTTGCTGCTGATCTAATATGCAGTTGATAAGGCGACTATGTAAATTTACAGATTTAATATTCTAGGTATTTTTCATCTGTGCAAGAAAAAGGAGGCATTTGCCAAAATAGAAAACTAGCATTTTATCTTAATGCTGGCAGGTATGTGTAAATATTTAAGCTGTAAGGAAATCCACATCACTGGTTTGTTGATACACTAATCTTTATTTCGTTTGATGTATTTTTTCTAACAGGGGGCCTTGACCTCATCCTCATGCCAGGCCTTGGGTTTGACAAAAGCGGCAACAGATTGGGAAGAGGGAAAGGATACTATGATACCTACCTTGAACGATGCATGCATCATCCCAAAGGAAAACCTTACACGATTGCCTTGGCTTTCAAGGAACAGATCTGTGACTCAGTGCCAGTGACAGAAAATGACATCTCAATAGATGAAATCCTTTATGAAGATAGCTAAAACCATCTGGATACTGCTGAGCAGAAATTGACCAACCAAAGACTTCATATTAAGGCACACACTTGTAATAGTCATTCATAATTTTGTACTGATAAAATACACTATTTTTAACAACCCTTCCCCCACATTTATGTTATTGAGGACTGCATTGATCTCATTCTAATTAGAAAATATCTATTGTGAAGATTTATTTTAGAATCAATAGAAACAAGAATGGGTGACTATTTTATTAACGATTAGATAATTTAATCTAATCATGTTTCTGTTTGTTGAGTTACCCGATATTTAGCCTGACAGTTTTATTGCCCTGCTTTAAAATGGAGCTCAGTTACTAAGAAGATTTCATGATCCAATCTGAAAGGGGATATTTGTTGGAACTAAAGTTTTAAATATGGCCACAGCACTTAACAATTATGCATGACCATCAACAAAACATTACTGCTCAAGAAACCACTTAAGCTGCACATGAACATGATCACAAAAGGGTGAATAAAAAGCCTTTTGATTGTAAAATCAATTTAGATTACATACTTGATGGTTAAATCATTGTCTAAATATAGAATCTCTATGCTAGCAACGGTATAATTAAAGATCTGACCATGTTTTTAATGTATACCAATTTCTATGTTTTAACTATAAACCCATATAAATATTGCCTTAGGCTGAAACTTGGTAGATGAGTTCTCAAGCTGAGCATTCAGAAATGGTTTTGATTTAAACCTACAATTTTCCTGGTCATTACTCCATAATGTAGTGGAATAGTGATGAAATTTGGTACAATACATTGAAGAATGGCTAGAGAGAAGCCTAGAAGAATTCCAGATGACAGCAACTATTATAGGATGAGAGGGTATGGACTCAGAAAAGGTTAACACAATTAAATAGGTACAAATTGGTGAAAGGGATGCAATGCTTCTGGAATGCAGAATAACTTTACATGAAGGGAGAGAGAACAGGATAAATTGTCATTTGTTATCACTAGAAGATTTACGTCGCATTGCCCAGGGCCTTAATTTTTGTTTTTTGGAAAATAAAATGAAAATGTACATGCTTCATTTAAATCATTGCTGTGGGGTGGGGCAGGGAATGAAGGCTCAGTATACAGTCTGCCCCAGGGAGAGAGAACTACCTTAAGTCCCTTCTCATTGCATCAGCTTGGGGCCAGGTGAGGAGCACCTCTCCAGGGCTGCTGCAGCTCCAGTGGTAGCACAATAGGATGTTGCCCCTGGCTCTGGACAGATCTGAGGGGCATGATTTAGCCCATCAGGTGAGCATTTATAAAATTGTGCACAATTTAGCACCTAGCTTTTTGGTAGCACCGTGCCAGAGAAAGCACAATTATATTTCTCACCTTGTCCCAGATAATTGGAGTGCACCAAAATATTCCCAGTCTTCTGCTCCATGCACCACTCAAAGTAATTGTGTGAACTTTGAAAATATCCGTTCAAAGGAGGTGGTAGTAGTTAGCTTAGTATAATATTCTGATATGGGAATTTAAAAATATACAGAAGATAATAATGAAAGGGAACACAATTTTCATTTCCTTTCAATCTTACCCTTGCCTCCCTCAATACATTTTTGTACAAGTATAATTTCTTTCAGCCTGTACATTATTTCATTAATTTTAACCAGTTCACTCTGTTTGCACATTAAAAATTCTGTGAATTCTCAAGCACTAACTACAGAAGAGAAAGCCCTTAAGACTTCACAGATAACAATTTTGATAACTAAATCATGCCTACAATATACATGAGTTTTTTAATCTAGGACTGTTGTATTCAATTTCACTTCTATTTTTGATATGGGAGTAACTCAATAACTGCTTGTTAAAAAAAATCGTATGTAATTGTAAATTCTATAATATGAGGACATGCTTCAGAATGAAGTTAAATTCTTCCTAAATATAATGATGGTATATCCATGGAATGGAAGCATGCACAAAGAGATCAGACAGAATTCTCTGTTTTGAAATTGCCCCTGAGGATATTTGCATTTGAAAGGTCCCAATTCAGAGGTATTGGAAAGTTCTTTGGAAAGATCTATTGCTGCAAAAAATGATCAACCCTCCCAAAGAGATAGAGCACCTCAAGTAATGGATGCATCAGCTGATCATGCATGTAGGGCTTAAAGATACAACCCAGCTGTCCTCAACCAAATTTCTGACATGAGTACGGGTTGCAGAACTGGCCCTTTTGAATGTAACCAAAAGGGCACATCTATCGTGAAGAAGAAATGAGTAATAGTAATACTGTCATCCAAAGAAGGACCTTTATGGGATATTTAAGTGAAATTGAGTTGTACCTCTAGAAAATGGAATCTTTAGAGAGAGAGAATATGAAGGTGTTGGATAAATACATACTGACATGAGTTTGGGGTGGTCACATTACCAGGAAATGCTGAAGCAATGAGTGAGTTATGCAGATCATTGCAAACGAGTGCCGATACACTGACTAATAAGCATGAGAGACCTCTTCAAAATGAGTTAGTGGTCTCAGACTGGTTCTCCTGAACTAATGCCTCTGTCGGGACTTTGGTAGATCTCACTGGCAGTCTCAGCTTAGAAGGCAATAATAGATGAAATGTGGAGAACGAAGAACTCTGAGGCCACCTAGAGGCAGTCCTGACAGAACATTGACAGTATTGTTGGAGCAGTCCAGGTAAGCTTGTATCATTGCCTTTGAGTTCCTACTTCCAGAATTAACAAGCAGAGGAATTTCATGAATACGACTTGCTAAAGCATATATTGAATCGCCGTGTCAGTGCTCATTGTTTCATATAGGGTCTATTGAAAGGCTCTGCCTTTAGGTAGGTTACTATATAGATTAATTCATGCATGCTAAAGCCAGAAGACTTACATCTTCAGTTTGACCTGCTGTATAATACAGGCCAGAGAATTTCACTCAGTTATACTGCATTGAGCCCCTTTTCCTTGAGGTTGGCTGTAGCATAACTTCAGAATAGCACCCAGCTGTCACTGTTAGTTTGTTTCAATGGATAATCACTGTCACTATTAAAAATTTGCTCTGAGTACTAATTTGAAGTTGTCTGGATTTAATTTCCAGGCAATGGTTCTTGTTATGCTTTTCTCATTTAGGTTAAAAGAGACCTTGAATACTTGGTATTTTCTCTGTGCTTCTATAATAGTACACCATAGAATACTGTCAGAATGTGTGGGTCGGGGTCTCATGGGCAGCCAGAATCAGAATTGTAGGACTGGAAGGGATGTCATGAGGTCATCTAGTCCAGTTCTCTGCACCCACAGCATGACTTAAGTATTATATATACCAGCCCCGACAGGTATTTGTCTAACCTGCTCTTAAAAATCTTCAGTGATGGAGATCCTGCAATTTCCCTAAGCAATTTATTCCAGTGCTAACCACTCTGACAGGATGTTTTCCTTAATGTCCGACCTCAGCTTCCCTTGTTGCAATTTAAGCCCATTGCTCCTGCTATCGTTAGAGATTAAAGAAAACAATTTTTCTCCCTCTTCTTTGTAACAAACTTTTATATATTTGAAAACTATGATCATGTCCCTCCTCAATCTTCTTTTCTCCCTATTTTTCAAACTTGGGTCATGTTTTCTAGACTTTTAATCATTGTTCTTTCTCTTTGAACTTTCTCCTATATGTCTATATTTTTCTTGAAATGTGGGTCCCAGAACTGCCCATAATATTCCAGTTAAGCCTAATCAGTACAGAGTAGAATGGAAGACTTATTTCTTGTGTCTTGCTTACAACACTGCTGCTAATACATCCTAAAATGTTGTCACCTCTCAAACTTCTGCTGTAGTATAAGCTAACAGTTTGAGCTCCTTAAGATTTCTGATTGTGGGTGGATGGATGGATAGACAGGTGGTTTAAGACCTAACAGAACTGATGGTAGCAATTTCTGGTATGATATAACTAGTACAATTATGGTTCGCATGCATTAGTATCTGGTGGATTTTATTCATTTTTAAAAATTGAATATATGTAGATTTTATTATAGAGGATTTGCACTTTATGAAAGATGGATTATGCACCACATTATGTGCATTGAACTGCTTTGGCTTTTGATGTGCTGATGATCTTTTGAAAATACATGATTTTAATGTAATACATGGCGTTTGATTAATGTCAGCCTTGTGAATTATTGGACAGAATTTAATAAAATGTAATTAGTAGTGTTGCAATGAAATGGACATTTTGCCATTTCATATACAGTCATTTTAGATTATTGAAGATTTAGAGTCAGTTATTATGTGTTCTATATTCTAAGAAATGGCTCCCGAAATGGAAATGTAGCATTTTGCCTGACCAGAGAGCAGTAGTCTATTATATATTTTAGAAAGTTTGTTTGTTCGTTTGATCAAGAACACCTTCTAAATGGTAAGATCTAGGACCACCAAATTTGGTATTACAGATTCCTCTATCATAACTTCAAGTAATGTGTTTGGTTGTGCCTGGAATGAGATTGCTTCTCATAAAACCAAACAGAAAAGAGATGGAATCACCAAATTGAGCACAGTCCTCAAAATTGGCATAACTAAGCAAACGTTGAAAGAGACTGAACCAAGATAAGCCAGAAAAATGGGATGAACCTGGAATAGAATTGCTTCTCAGTAAACCTGACAGAAAAGAGATAAAACAGAGACATTTGGACTAGTGCTCTGTTTTGGCACAACTAAAACTAGAAAACAATGTTATTGAAAACCAAATTGACTATAGCCCTTTTTTGTTAAAACATAGTGAATGATAGGAGTTTATAGGGATGAAGAAAAAAATACACTTGATGGAATTCTCATTTTAAAATTTTTAGTAAAATTAATAAAATAACGCTATTTTTCAAAAATAGTCATTTCAATAAAGCATGTACATTTTCCTTTTATTTAAAAAAATTAATTGAGTTAAGGACTTGAAAAACACCCGGTAAATCTACTAGTTATAAATGAATAGTAAGATCTCATTGGGCCTGATTCTTATTTATGCTAAAGCCTCTTTACATAGCTCTGGTATTACAAGCTTTAATGGAAATGAGAATCAGACCGAATGTTATTCAGTAATTGTCCTTACATTCACAGGACACCATCCCTAATCAGCAGGCACATTTCTAAACAGAAAGCTCTGCCAAAGGTTTTGGAACTGAAACACTCAACTATGAACATAGTCTGTAAAACAACCCAATGACTGTGTCTAGACTGTATCCCTTTTCCGTAAAAGGGATGCAAATTAGACACATCGCAATTGCAAATGAAGCGGGGATTTAAATCCCCCCCCGCTTCATTTGCATGAACATGGTTGCTGCTTTTTTCCGGCTCGGGGCTTTGCCGGAAAAAAGCACCAGTCTAGACGGAGATCTTTCGGAAAATAAAGCCTTTTTCGAAAGATCCCTTATTCCTTTTTTTTTATCCCTTATTAAAAAAAGGAATAAGGGATCTTTCCGGAAAGGCTTTATTTTCCAAAAGATCCCCATCTAGACTGGCACTTTTTTCCGGCAAAGCCCAGAGCCGGAAAAAAGCGGCAGTCATGTTTATGCAAATGAATCGGGGGGGGGGGGGGTTTAAATCCCCCCTTAATGAGTGTCCATATTTCTTTGCCTTCAAACACTTTCATACCAAACTGGCTCACTATTCTAGTAAAAAGATGCTTTTTCTAACTTCCTATTCTGCTAGCTCAGCCTGGGATCTGAAAGTTAAGTTGGGTCTTTCTGTTTCTTGCATATAAAAATGCAGCCAGTAGATGAGCTGACAAGTTCGGTGATAATGCCTGAAGGAGAATAGCCTCCAGCTTGTGGTTGCAAACTTGTATTGTCTAGCAGCTGTACAAACCTGGTTATGTCAGTAAGTCAGGCAGAACAATTCAAGACATGGAATAGACATGCTGAGAGAGAAGATGTAGATTTGGTACTGCTGTTCTTCTGAGAGAATTTTAATCCTTCCCCCATCACTGGATGTATGTTACTTTATGAACAAATTATTGTAGCATGTTTGTGAACATGAGTGTACTGGAGTAGAACTCTAGCTTCTCTTTGCAGACTGATACACTCTGCTAATTAACCCCTCATGAACACTCACTTGTTAGAAGTTTGGGGGCAAGTTCTCCTCTGTTACGTTGGTGTGGCTCTGTTGTAGTCAATGCATCTGCACTTGTGAAACTGTGACCGATTTTAAGCTAAACACTTGAAGCACAGTCAATCTTTATTCAGCACAGCACATGCTTACATCCCATTAAAGTCAATGGGACTTCTGCAAATACTTTAGCACTTTGCTGAATAGGGCTGGTTTGCTGACTCAGGATTTGAAAGCAACATTAGGAACTTTGCCTTTTTTTGTTAGAGACCCCTAATTTCAGCTGCATAGATTCTATTGTGGTTTCATATTATACATAATATTAAGAGATCATGCCAGTGAAATAGAACATTATCAGAGGATAATGATTTTCTGTTGCTACATAAATGCTGAGGCAAAGCCAGGTGTTTATTTCCAAGCAGGACATCATAATCTTTTGACCATGTTCTATTCGAATGACTTATTTCATTTAGGCCAGATGACTGCTGTAGATTGAACCATTTTATCTGATGCCTGTTGGCCCAGTGTAATAATGGTTTCACAGTGTACCATTGATGTCCTGCGGCATTCTCTATACAAGAGACTGATTATTGTACCTTAGCCAATTAGATATCAGTTTATTCACAAAATTACTATCACTTTTTTGAATAAACTCTTATCTGACTGGCTAGATTTGTTAACTTTAATAAATGAATAATGGCCAGGCTGACTGGTACAGATTGCATTCAGTAGATAATAGGTAAGCAACCATGTATAAAAAAGCTATTACATGATGAATAGCTTCTGGGGACAGCACAAACTACTCAGCACAAGAACAAAGTACTGAGATGGAGCTAAGGGCTCTGTTATAGATTTGACTTTATGTTTTTGTTGTAAAAATCTGAGGGGCAAGAATTTGAACTAGAAATATAGGCCCCATTATATAGGCATACGCTTAACTTTACTTGCAGGTGCCAACAGAAGCCAATGGAGCCACCTAATGTGTAAGGTTAGGACACGTGTAAATCTTTGAGGGACTGGGGCCATAATTTATCAGGAGGGCTCAGGTTTCTTATATCGTGGAGCACGCTTTAATACCGAAATTCTCCCATAGACACTTCCCTTCCCAGTCTCAGTTGCAAACCATTCCATGGCTATTACGAAGTTGTTTCCATGCTACCCCCTACCATATTTTTCCTTCATTGCTCTGCCCCATTTTTCCACCTCTGTGGCTTTGCATCTTAGGTGGCTGCATCACTCGCTCCATCCTGGTTTCAGCCCTAGTGAAGCTAAAGAAATGCAACAGCTTTAATTTGATATCCAAGCCTTCTTGCTGTCACTTTTTTTTGCCATATACTCTGATATTATGTCCAGCTTTACAGCATACAACAGTGTTTACACGGAACAGGGTTAAGGAACTGGTATGCAGATCTGAATGATTTAAGTGTGCTCAGCATGCACGATCACTTGGGGGAGCAGGGCAAGCTGCCAAAACTGAATCAAGTGGTTCCTCCACAGTTTCCATTAATGTAGGAATGTTATGTTGGGAATTATGAAAATATGCACTAAATGGGTTCATCTTTCCCCAAACAGGCACACTACGGTCTGTTTGAGTCTCCAAATACAGTGAACATCGTTATTGCTCTTCTTGTGACAAAGCAGGCAAAAGCACTGAAGTTCCACTTTGCTTATAAATAAGGGTATGTCTACACTACAAAGTTAATTTGAACTAACGGATGTTAGTTCGAATTAACTTTGATAGGTGCTACACTAGCGCTCCACTAGTTCGAACTTAATTCGAACTAGCGGAGCGCTTAGTTCGAACTAGGTAAACCTCATTGTACGAGGACTAAGCCTAGTTGGAATTTACTAGTTCGAATTAAGGGGTGTGTAGCCCCTTAATTCGAACTAGTGGGAGGCTAGCCCTCCCCAGCTTTCCCTGGTGGCCACTCTGGCCAACACCAGGGAAACTCTATTGCCCCCCTCCCAGCCCCGGACCCCTTAAAGGGGCACGGGCTGGATAGGGTGCCCATGCCAGGTGCAAGCCTGCCAGCACACAGCCAGCAGACCCTGCACCTGGCACAGCTCGAGCCAGCCACCCGATGCTCCCCAG